ATTTTTTTTTTTTGGAAGGGTTTTTGGTATTTCTATCTCCTTCAGTTCTGTGCTGATCTTAGTTATTTCGTATCTTCTAACAGCTTTTGAATTTCTTTGCTCTTGCTTCTCCAGTTAAATTGTGATGTTAGGGTGTTGATTTTAGATCTTTCCCACTTTTTCATGTGGGCATTCAGTTCTATAAATTTCCCTCTAAACACTGCTTTCGCTGTGTCCCAGAGATTCTAGTACATTGTGTATTTATTCTCATTAGTTTTGAAGAACTTATTTATTTCTGCCTTAATTTTGCTATTTACCGACTAGTCATTTAGGAGCAGTTGTTCAGTTTCCACATAGTTGTGTGGTTTTAAGTGAGTTTCTTAATCCTGAGTTCTAATTCGATTGCACTGTGGTCTAAGAGACTGTTTACCATGATTTCCATTTTTTTGCATTTGCTGAGGAGTGTTTTACTTCCAATTACGTGGTCAATTTTAGAATAAGTGGTATGAGGTACTGAGAAGAATGTATATTTTGTTGATTTGGGGCGGAGTGTTCTATAGATGTTCTGTTGGTCCACTTGGTCCAGAGCCAAGTTCAAGTCTTGTTAATTTTCTGTCTCATTGATCTAATATTGACAGTGGGGTGTTAAAGTCTCCTAATATTATTGTGTGGGAGTCTAAGTCTTTGTAGGTCTCTATGAACTTGCTTTATGAATGTGGGTGCTTCTGTACTAGGTGCATATATATTTAGGATAGTAAGCTCTTCTTGTTGCATTGACCCCTTTATCTTATGTAATGCCCTTTTTTGCCTTTTTTGATATTTTTGGTTTAAGGTCTGTTTTATCGGAAACTAGGACTCCTACTCTTTTTTTGCTTTCCATTTGCTTGGTAAATATTCCTCCATCCCTTTATTTCGAGCCTATGTGTGTCTCTGCACGTGAGATAGGTCTCCTGAATACAGCACACCAAAGGGTCTTAATTCTTTATCTAATTTGCCAGTCTGTGTTTTTCAATTGGGGCATTTAGCCCATTTACATTTAAGGTTTATATTGTTTTGTGCAAATTTGATATTGTCATTATGATGCTAGCTGGTTATTTTGCCCATTAGTTGATGCAGTTTCTTCATAGTGTCAATGCTCTTTACATTTTGGTATGTTTTTGCAGTGGCTGGTACCAGTTTTTCCTTTCCATATTTAGTGCTTCCTTCAGGAGCTCTTGTAAGGCAGGCCTGCTGGTGACAAAATCTCTAAGCATTTGCCTTCTCTAAAGGATTTTATTTCTCCTTCACTTACGAATGTTAGTTTGGCTGGATACAAAATTCTGGGTTGAAAATTCTTTTCTTTAAGAATGTTGAATATTGGCCCCAACTCTCTTCTAACTTGTCGGGTTTCTGCAGAGACATCCACTGTTAGTCTGATGGGCTTCCCTTTGTGGGTAACCTGACCTTTCTCTCTGGTTGCCCTTAACATTTTTCTTTCATTTCAACCTGGTGAATCTGACATTTATGTGTCTTGGGGTTGGCTTTTCTCAAGGAGTATCTTTATGGTGTTCTCTGTATTTCCTGAATTTGAACATTGGCCTGTCTTGCAAGGTTGGAGAAGTTCTTTTGGATAATATCCTGAAGTGTGTTTTCCAACTTCGTTCCATTCTCCCCACCACTTTTAGGTACACCAATCAAACACAGGTTTGGTCTTTTCACATAGTCCCATATTTCTTAGAGGCTTTGTTTGTTCCTTTTTATTCTTTTTGCTTCAATCTTGTCTTCACAATTTATTTCATTAAGTTGATCTTCAATCTCTGATAACCTTTCTTCTGCTTGATTGATTTGGCTATTGATACTTGTATATGCTTCATGAAGTTATCACTTTGCATTTTTCAGCTTCATCAGGTCATTTGTGTTCTTCTCTAAACTAGTTATTCTAGTTAGCAGTCCCTGAGACCTTTTATCAAGGTTTTTAGCTTCCTTGCATTGGGTTAGAACATGCTCCTTTAGCTCAGAGGATTTTGTTATTACCCATCTTCTGAAGCTATTTCTTTCAATTTGTCAAACTCATTCTCGGTCCAGTTTTATTCCCTTGCTGGTGAGGAGCTGTGATCCTCTGGAGAAGAGGCATTCTGGTCTTTGGAATTTTTAGCATTTTTCTGCTGTTTTTTCTTCATCTTCATGGATTTATCTACCTTTGGTCTTTGATGTTGTTGACCTGGGGATGGGGTTTTTGTGTGGGCATCCTTTTTGTTGATGTAGATGTTATTGCTCTTAGTTTTCCTTCTAACACTCAGGGCCCTCTTCTGCAGGTCTGCTGGAGTTTGCTGAAGGTCCTCTCCAGACCCTGTCTGCCTGCGTATCAGCAGCAGCTGCAGAACAGCAAAGATTGCTGCCTTCTTCCTCTGCAAGCTTTGTCCCAGAGAAGCACCTGCCAGATACCAGCCAGAGATCTCCTGATTGCATGTCTGTTAACCCCCTGCTGGGACATGTCTCCCAGTCAAGAGGCATGAGGGGGTCAGGGACCCACTTGAGGAAGCAGTACCTTAGCAGAGCTCGAGCACTGTGCTAGGAGTCCCACTGCTCTCTTCAGAACTGGCAGGCATGAACTTTGTATCTGCTGAAGCTGTGCCCACACACATCCCTTCCCCTGGTGCTCTGTCCCAGGGAGATGGGAGTTTCATCTATAAGCCCCTGACTGAGGCTGCTGCCTTTCTTTCAGAGATGCCCTGCCCGGAGAGGAGGAATCTAGAGAGGTAGTCTGGCTACAGTGGCTCTGCTGGACTGTGGTGGGTTCTGCCCAGTTTGAACTTCCTGGTGGCTTTGTTTACACTATGAGGGGAAAACCCATTACTCAAGCCTCAGTAATGATGGACACCTCTCCCTCCACTAAGCTCAAGCATCCCAGGTCAACTTCAGACTGCTGTGCTGGCAGTGAGAATTTCTAGCCAGTGGGTCTTAGCTTGCTGGGCTCCATGGGGGTGGGATCCGCTAAGCAAGACCAGTTGGCTCCCTGGCTTCAGCCCCCTTTCCAGGGAAGTGAATGGTTCTGTCTTGCTGGCGTTCCAGGTGCCATTGGGGTTCAAAAAGAAAAACTCCTGCAGCTAGCTCAGGGTCTGCCCAAACAGCCCCCCAGTTTTGTGCTTGAAACCCAGGACTATGGTGGTATAGGCACCCAAAGAAATCTCCTGGTCTGTGGGTTGCCTAGACCATGGAAAAAGCATAGTATCTGGACTGGATAGCACCATCCCTCATGGCTTCCCTTAGCTAGTAGAGGGAGTTCCCCAACCCCTTGCACTTCCCAGGTGAGGCAATGCTCTTCCCTGCTTCTGCTCACTCTCTGTGTGCTGTACCCACTCTATAACCAGTTCCAATGAGATGAACCCAGTATCTCAATTGGAAATGCAGAAATAACCTCCTGCCTTCTGCATTGGTTTTGCTGGGAGCTGCAAACTGGAGCTGTTCCTGTTTGGCCATCTTTAGGGAGGTATCTTTCTTTTTTATTAACAGAAATACTGGGTTTAAATCAGAGTCCTCAGCTTTAAATAAAAGAGTATCACTCTTTCTCTTTAGCCTTACCATGAAGTAAGGGTGGCTGTGGGCGCAGTTTCAGCAGACATAAAGTTCCTGCCTGCCAGTTCTGAAGAGAGCAGCAGGACTCCTAGGACAGTGCTTGAGCTCTGCTAAGGGACTGCCTCCTCCCTGACCCCTGTGCCTCCTGACTGGGAGACATGTCCCAGCAGGGGTCGACAGACATACATACAGGAGAGCTCTGGCTGGCATTTGTTTGTTTGTTTTGAGACACAGTCTCCCTCTTTTGCCAGCGTGTTGTGCGGTGGCGGGATCTTGACTCACTGTAACCTCCACCTCCTGGGTTCAAGTGATTCTCCTGCCTCAGCCTCTCAAGTAGCCGGGACTACAGGCATGCGCCACCACACCCAACTAATTTTTGTATCTTTATTAGAGATGGACTTTCACTATGTTGGTCAGGATAGTCTAGATCTCTTGACCTTGTGATCCACCCATCTTTGCCTCCCAAAGTGTTCGGATTACAGGCATGAGCCACTGTGCCTGTCCGAAAAGTCTCTTTAACTGGTTTCTCCATGACATTTTTGAAAGTTTTCTCTTTTTTGAAAAATGTGCTTAATTTCTAACTTACGTTTTTATCTTTTACATATTTACTTCTCTTTTTGTTGAAGTGTGATTAAATAATATGGACCATAAACTCAAGTTTTAGAAATGTTAAATTTTCATTTGTCTAATACATGATCATTTTTGTAAATGTTCCCATGTACAGCTGAATAAAATCTGTATTTTCTAATAGGGGTCAATGTCTACTCTGTAAGGCTATCATATTATTGCACCCCAAAGCCTAAAATAGTATAATACACAGTAAGAACTTAGTAGATACATAAATTCTGCTAATTTCTTTCTTACTTTTTTGGTCAGCCAAATTGGTCAAAATCTGAAACAGATTATGGCATAGAGTGCTTGCTATCTGTCCTCTAATATCCATTATCTTTTTTGCTGGGGACATGGCCTCCAAGATAGAATCCAAATGCTCTAGTCTCCCTTGGAGTTATATGAGGCCATTAAATTCTGTCCAGTAAGATGTTAGTGAAAAACATGTGAGGAAATTCTGTGCCATTTTCTTAGAAGTAAGCTGCTTTCCTTCTGCACTTTCTTCCTTCCCAAGTGATTAGTTTAGAAGAACTTGGTGGTGGTGAGCCACCTTCTAATATGCAATCCAGAGACTGCAAAGGTTGTAGAAGAAGCCCAAAATACAGGTTGACTTTCAGAAGCAGAGATAGTATCTACCTCCAGACAGTTTACCAACAAAAACCTTTTTAAAAATTATGGCAAAAAACTAATAACAGGGAACTCCCAGTTTCCAAAGCATCAGGTAAAAACCTCAGAAGTCACCAGTCCTTCTGAAAAGCCATGTAAACGGCTGAACAAAATGAAAAATCAACAATTCTAATACTTCTTAGGTCTTCAAGAATGAAGAGGTACAGGATAAACTCATGCTCCCAAAATTGGAGACAGAGAGGCAAATACAAAAATCAGATCTTACAGAAGCAGAAACCTCTATGGGAACAGGCTCTGGGACAGTAAAACCTGAACAGTAACTGAAGAATTGCTGAAGGTTCAGTGTGGACATGTCTGAGAGTAAACGCTTCAGGGGGACTTGATAATCAGTACCCCTCCTCCAACAGGCATACTTTTGTGTGTTTTATTGTCTGGAGCTCCACCAGGCTTTCTGGGTGAATTCCAGAGAAGACCCACCCTTCTGCTTTTGGAAGTAGGGTGGAGGGCAGGGGGTCGAGAAACAATTTTGAAATACAACATAGCATTCTGTTCTTCATAGCATATTGTACTCTCAGGAGAAGGTATATAACCAGAGCCTAGCTTGCTGGGGGGTTTTATGAGAATCAACTGTCTAAACTGAAGGAAATATCCAACTCCAACCAAATTTAGCATCCTAGGTGACAGCAGAAAAATATCTAACTCCAGCCCCCTCAACTCACCGTGTTTCACCTAAAAAGAGGGTGTGGTCTACAAAACATACCGGTGAAGTTTACAGTACAGAGGCACGGGTTCAGCAAAATAACAAAATCTAACCATAGGACTGTAGAACAATTCCTACCTCCAACACCTTATCACATTACCAAAGCCCTATTTATAGCAATTTGTTACATACTGTGAATCAAGCAAAAACTGCAAGGCATACTAAAAGGCAACAATCAATCAACCAATCAATCAGGTTGAAGGATTATAAGACTGAAAATTTAAAACAACTGTAATTAGGCTGGGTGCGGTGGCTCACACCTGCAATCTCAGTACTTTGGGAGACTGAGGCAGGTGTATCATGAGGTCAGGAGTTCAAGACCAGCCTGGCCAATATGATGAAACCCAGTCTTTACTAAAAATACAAAAAATTAGCTGGGTGTGGTGGTGGTATAGTTTCATTAGGATTGGTACCAGTTCTTTTTGTATCTGACTGAATTTGGCTGTAAATAGATCCAGTCCATGGCTTGTTTTGGTTGCTATTTTCATTACTGGTTCCATTTCAGAACTTGTTATTGTACTTTTCAGGCTTTTAGCTGATAAACTGTGGCAGGAGCAGCAGCAGACAAAACCTCTCTAACACTGAACTGAGAAAGAAAGTGGCTTTTTATTTGGCTGGGAGCTTTATTAGTTGGCAGAGGTGTTTCCGGGGGGGGGGGGTCTGGGTCATGTAAACGTGGAGGACATGACCCAGTTCTGAGCTCTGACCAGTAGTGACAACATTCTCTGCAACTCTTTCAAGGCTCATAGACAGCTTAGACTACGGCAGTGGCGTCAGCAAGCCACTTGTCCACAGATTCCAGTTCTTTGGCATTTCATCTGTCTTTACCCTCTTCCTCATCTGGAGGGAGGATGTGGAGGCCTGCGAGGAGGAAGATGGGGAGAGGGTCTCCCCTCTTATTCCCCACTTTGAGAACCTCACTTACCAATTTTTAGTGAGAGTTTTTACTCTCACCTTCTATCTTACTGTTGGGATTTTCCAGTGAGACAGGTTGGTAATGGTTCATGTAATAGGCCTGAGCTGAAGTCTTTTTTTGAATGATGGTAGTAACAAATCCTCTTACTGCCAGAGAAGCAACGACATTAAGCAAGGGAGCAATATGCATGCCTCTGTTATTAATACTACACTTATGGCAATGGTCTTGAGTTCTTCTGTAGCAAGAAACCAATTCCCAAACGTTGATCCGGGATTGAACACATGCCAGACTTGTGCAGGCACATGTGCTAGTTCTGTCATGTTCCTTACAATATTTTTAACTACCTGACCCTGGTCATTTATTTGTAGTCAACAGTTGGTTAACTTGAATTTTTTACATAGCCCTCCATCAGTCACTAGTAAGTAATTTAAAGCCAGTCTATTCTGGTAGATGGCATTTTTCATCTTGGTTTCCTGTCGAACCAAGGCGGTTAGAGCCTGGCCAGTTTTGTTGGTTAGGATTTCTGGGACAGCCTGTAATGAATGATTCGACTAAGCATGTAGATTGGAGTACGGCAGCCCCACGAGCCAGCCTCCATGCATGTGGCTGGCCTGTAGTATCGAATCCTTTTTTCAAGGGGCCATTTATTACCTTTCCAGTTTCCTATAACCAGGCTTTGCTTATTTTGCGAATAGTAGACAGGAAAACCTAACATTTTCCTAGTGTTTATGGGTAGCAGGAAGAAAGAGGGCTTGATGGTGCCAAGGACGCCACTGCCTATCCGCTGATCTGGCAGTTTGGTGCAGGCTTTGCGCCCACATATCCAGTATAGGCCACGAGGCACCACCTAGTCCCAGTGGGGTTCCAGGCGAGTCCAGGCTGCCTGTAGGGTGGGGAGCTTTTGGAAAGGGTTGGCTGCGGTTCCATGTAAGCTCCACCAGGTGATTGTTTCACTGGATTCACTGCATAGCCTTTGTCCCAACAGTCCAGCTTCCCCACTGGGGCTGTCATACCCTTTTCTATTCTGGTCAAACAATATTGTCTAATGATGGAGGTTTTTAAAATCCAAAAGCCGTTTCTCTGGCCTTTTTGCACATAAGTCGTATTTGGGACAGGGTCAGTAGGCACAAGCTCACATGCTTCCCATGGCCACCAGTTCCCCATAGCAGTCCCTCCACAGACATAACAGGAATGCACTCTTAAAGTTTTGGCTACAGTTTCAGCTAACGGAAAGAACAAATTTTTCTCCTTCTGGGGGAATTCTGGAACTGGTTTATTCAATATATTATAAAAAGTATGAAACAACGGTTGGGGTGATTGTCTCTGGATATCACCCTGAATTAGAATGGCAACCCGGGGGTCTAGTTCTTTTCCATTAATTCCTATCATTACAGATTCCCCTTCTCCTCAGTTCTGGTAAGTACTTTACTTGTATCGCCACGAAAAGGTCCAGTTCTTAACCTTATCTCAAATATGGTGGACCTGGTAGGCTCAGATGGGTTATAACATGTATCAGGTTGGTTGTTTCCTGGGCTTCACACCTGATACTGGGCAGCATTATATAAACAAGTTTCTTTTAGGGTTTCAGTGCATTTATAACTGTGAAACAAGAGGACCGTGGTAACCTTCTGTCCTACCTTAGTGACCTTGTGTATACACTGGGAACAATTTTCAGATGGGAAGTTTACATTTACTAGGGTAGCAAAGATACAAGTCCATACTCCCAAAGAGAAGGAGTACGTGTCCCACGGGGACAGTACTTACGCTTCGGCTGTGCGTAGACCTGTCAGCTTTCAGGGTGTGACTGGAGCAGGGCTTGTTGTTTTTAGTTTTCCTTAAGGTGATCTTGCATGGGTTATGGAGATCCGGCTTCATTTCCCAGGTGTCTGGTGCTGCAGGTTTTACACAGCTGTAATGGACCCACGCAGAAACTCCCTCAACCTTCACGGCAGTTGGAGTGGCTAAAATGACAATTTGGGATCCTTTCCACCTCGGTCATAGGGGAGCCACATTTTAGTCCTTGATCCCAACTCGGTCACCTGGTGAAAATGGGTGAACTGGGGAGAATAAGCTAACAGGGCATCTTTTATTAACCCATTCAGACACCTTCTCTGCCACCTTTTCCCAAAGCCTGTAATTGCCAGTATAACTGAGTTTCCCCTAATTCCCAGAGAGTCCCTGGGAGCCCCCAGAGGATGCGGGGAGGCCTATGATACAGGATCTCATATGGGGAATACCCAGTTTTCTTAGAAGGTGTACATTTAATTTTAAACAAAATTATAGGAAGAACCTGTACCCATTTTAACCCTGTCTCCTGGCACACTTTCCCTAAGTTACTTTTAATAGTCCAGTTCATTCACTCCACTTTGCCTGAACTCTGAGGCCGGCAGGAAGCATGTAGCTTCCAGTTGATTCCTAGCATTCTTGCTGTGCTGTGTACCAGGTCAGCTACAAGTGCAGGCCCATTGTCTGAGCCTACTTGCAAAGGCGGTTCAAATTTAGGAATCATGTCTCTCACGAGAACGTGACTCACTTCACGGGCCATTTTAGTCCGCGTCGGGTAGGTTTCTACCCACCTCGTGTAAGTACATACCAGAACCAGCAGACAACGATTACCTCCACATTTGGGCATCTCGGTAAAGTCCACTTGCAAGTTTTTAAAGGGAGTGCTTCCAGGAGTGCTGGATTCCTGGTGGGACTGTAGGTCCTTGTTCGGCATTATGCTGTTTGCATGTTGCACACCATTGTGTCACTGTTTTTGCTAGTGCAGATAAATGAGAGATGTAAAAATACTGGCCAATTATTTTTTTAAGGGCGTCTTGACTGAGGTGGGAGGTCTCACGGACAGCCAAGACAGCTGCAGGCTCTAGCAGTTGTGGCACTGCCACCCGTCCATCTGGCAGGCGTATCTGTCCTCCCTCTATTTCCTTCCTGCTTTCAGTTTGCAGGAAGCCTTTTTCCTCCTCTGAGTAAACTAGCACCAAGTCCAGAACCTGGGGCAGTAGGGGGCTGTGACTGATGCTCGACACGGGATGGATGCGACCCTCCGGGCCTCCACATCTGCACAGGCATTTCCCTGGGTGACTGTGGTGGAGGTTCACTGATGTCCTCAGCAGTGCACGACTGCCATCTTTCGGGGTTTCCATCTGCTTTCAGTAGCTGCAAAATTTCCTGTTGGTACTTTATTTCTTTGCTCCCAGAATTAAGTAGGTCCTTCTCCTTATTCAGTCCCCCACATACATGGAGAGTGGGAAAGGCATACCGTGAGTCAGTAAAGATGTTAATAGTTTTTCCTTCACTTAATTCTAAGGCATGAGTTAAGGCTATTAACTCCGCTTTCTGTGCTGAGGTCCTTGAGGTAATGCTTTGGCCTCTAGGGCTGAGTCCAGCGTAACCACCACAGAACCAGCACACCTCTCCCCTAGAGGGCTGACAAAGCTGCTTCTGTCCACATGCAGCTCCCAATCAGCCTGAGACCACAGCAGGTGCCGCAGATCCAGCTGACTGGAATCAACTGAGTCCAGTACCTCTAGGCAAATCATGTGTCACCGGGCCCTCCGACATGGGGAGTACGGTGGCTAGGTTTAGGGTGTTGCAAACCTTTATGGTTATATGCAGATTCTTGCACAGCAAGCCCTGGTACTTAGTTAAGCGGGCACTGGTAAGCCAGTGATGCCCTTCATATTCATTAAGGTGATCACGGTGTGAGGGCCTATTTTTAAATTCTGTCCCAAAGTCAGCTTGTCAGCCTCTTGCGCCAGTAGGGCAGTGGCTGCTAATGCTCATAGACATGGGGCCATCCCTTGGAAACTCCATCCAGTTGTTTGGACAAATCCACACAGGTCAGGGCCATGGGCCCACAGGCTGAGTCAGCAGCCCCACCGCCATTTTTTCTCTCTCAGACACATACAGCATGAGGGGCTTTGTCAAGTCCGGCAACCCCAGAGCCGGGGTATCAGTTTTTCTTTTAACTGTGAGCAGGCCCCCTGCCACTCCCAGCCCCACTTGAAGGGCTCTCCATCTCCCTTCTTTGTGGCTTTATATAGGGGTTTAGGCAGAACTGCAAAGGTAGGAATCCACAGTCAGTAGAATCCCACTGCCCCCAAGAATTCTTGTACCTTTCTTCAAGTCTTTGGCACCAGCAGGTTACTGATACCTGCTTTCTCTCTATTTCTAGGCTTCACTGCCCCAGCTTGATAGTAAATTCCAGATAGCGCACCTGTTGTTGGCAAATCTGGGCCTTCTTTTTAGAAACCTTGTATCCACAGGTTTCCAGGTGTCTGAGTAACATGTTAGTTCCCCGAGCACATCCAGCTGCTGCCAGGTGTCCCAGCAGAAGGTCATCCATGTATTGGAGCAGCACACAACATAGGTCCTTGGCAGGGAACCTCTGGAGGTCCCAGGCCAATGCCTCTCCAAAGACGGTTGGGGAGTTTTTGAACTCCTGTGGAAGCCGAGTCCAGGGGTACCGTGTTGTTACACCCGACTCTGGATCTCCCACTGGAAGGCAGTTTCGGGCTCTCAGGGGATAACCGGATGCTGAAGAAAGCACCCTTTAAGTCTAAGCAAGTGAACCAGCTGGCCTCAGCTGGCAACAGTCCTAGCAACATGAAAGGATTGGGCACCGTGGGGTGCAAGGTCACAGTTGCTTGGTTGACCAAGCACAGGTTGTGCACTGGTCAGTAGTCATTGGTCCCCAGCTTGGGGACGGTGGAAGAGATGTGTTCCAAGGAGACTGGCATGGAAGTATAATGCCATAAGCTCTCAGGCATCTCAGATGCACCTGGATGCCCTCAAGATCTTCCCTTAGACTGGGTACTGTCTTTGACTGGTAGTGCCCCTGGCTTTACTTTGATAACCACCAGGGCTTGGTTTACTGCCAACCCAGGGGGGTTGTCTTCTGCCCAAACCTGTGGCCATCACTTGGCCAGCGCAGGGGTTAATTCTCATCCCAGCTCAGTCAGAAAGTCTCCACTTCTCCTCCCACGAGACAGTGAGAGTCGTGATAACCACTGCCCGAGGCAGTTTGAGCTGCAGGAAGCCCTTATCAGTGAACATGATAGTAGCTCTTAGTTTGCTTTAACAAGTCTCTCCCCAAGACAGGTAGGGGGCAGTCGGCATGTGCAGGAATTGATGTATAATCTCGTGGCCTCCCACCAAACAGGTCCATGGTAGCAAAAAGCCTGTTTCTCTGAAACTCCAGTTGCCCCAATTATGTCTATTGTCTTACTGGACAAAGGGGCTATGAGTTGGGTCAGCACCGAGTGCTCCCTCTTTCTCTTTTTGATTAGGTTTGCATTTCACTCGCTGTTATAGCAGCTTAGCAGGGTTACACTGTTTGCCCTGTCTTAGCTGTTGAGCCTGGCAACTCCCACACACAGCTGCACGGCCAGCTCTTCCTTGTCTTTACGGTTAACAGTTTAACTCTTCTTATCCCTGATTTTCCTTTTTACCTTTTTCTTTGCCATTAGCACTGCTGCAGCTTGTACAGTTATGTGTTTCCCTGGTGTCACGGTGGTGCCATGATTTCTACTAAACCCTTTCTTGAATTTTTTTAGCTTAGTTCCCAATGGAACGGATTTACTTTGTGTTTTACCCAGCTCCGTCTGTTAGGGTAAGAACAGCACTCCCAAAAGGTAGAGGGCTGCTCACTGACTTTGCCGATGTTGCAACTCGGGACTCTGTACTCCACCCTCAGTCTCCTGCCTGTTGGGGCACAACACTCTCTCTGTTCACTTCTGCTGCAGATTGGTAGGACTGTCCCCCTGGCGGGAGTGTTTCAGAAGCTGCTTGGCATTGGAGAGTTTGTTACTCCCTCCACAATACCTAGCTTGTGAGAGCACCTCCTTCAGCCTTATGCAGTTCGTCCCGGGTCCCAGCTGGCCCCACAATTCGCTCGGAATGTACAGCCCACTCTAACGGACCTGTGGCCCACACACTTCGCGGCTGATAAGCCCAACTGGGCCCCTCCACACTCCTTCACATGCACACATCCCCCAGCACCCAAGTTCTAAGAAAACGAGATTACTGAAACCGGTTACAAAGACACAAAAATCAAGTTCAAAGTGCCAAGATAGATAGGCATGTTGTGGGTGATCAGGCCACGCTTCCACACAATAGGGGCAGAGAAGTTTCCCAGGACTAATCCTACCATGTTTCTGATGTCCAGACTCCAAACGCCAGTTCCTTCTCAGTCTTCAGCCTTTGCACAGATCTGCTGTGGATGCCTGCCTTGCTGTGCTCTGGGCAAGGCATTCCAACAGGGCTAATGCCTACACAGGACCACTCTCAGGATCTGCGTCACCCAAGTGGGCTGGAGTCTCCCACGTGGATGCTCTGCATGGCATGGCAAAGCTGCCTGGGAGGCTGTCCTGCCCATCCGCCAAGCAAAACATGCTTCCCAGTTAGGGAACCAAAATGCAGCAGGAGTGGCAGCGAACAAAACCTCGAACTGAGAAAGGAGTAGCTTTTTATTTGGCCAGAAGCTGCGACAGGCTAATGCCTTAACGAGTGAGTTCTCCAAGAAGCAGTTTCTTTCCCTTTTTATAGGCTTACAACTCTAAAGGGGAAACTGAGGCAAAACTGTGTCAATGACCATTTGCCAAGTGACAAATCACAATCTTTGGCTTCATTGATTTGCTAGTTTATATGCAGCACACACAGAAATAGGCAGGGGAGGGGGCCTACAGAGACAAGACAAAGGCTTTCTTGAAATTATTAGTTGGCAGAGGTATTTTCAGGAGAGGGTCTGGGTTGTGTAAATGTGGAGGACGTGACCCAGTTCCAGGCTTTGGCAGTAGTTATACTCTTTGCAACACTTTCAAGGCTTACAGATAGCTTAGACGCTGGGAACCAAAAAGCGAGTCATCTTCCCAGTCCTTGGGCCTCGTTACGGCCTGGTCAGTGGCGTCAGCAAGTCACTTGACCATGGATTCCAGTTCTTTGGTATTTTATCTCTCTTTACCCTCCTTCTCATCTGGAGGGAGGAGGTGGAGGCTTGTGATGAGGGAGATGGGGAGGGGTCTTTCCTCTTAAAACAACTGTAGTAAAGTTTCAGAATACAAAATCAACATACAAAAATTAATAGCATTTCTATACGCCAATAATATTCCGGCTGATAGCCAAATAAAGAACGCTATACCATTTCCAGCAGCTATACAAAAGTGAAGTGCCTAGGCACACAGCAAACTGAAGAGGACAGCTGCAAAACACTGCTGAAAGAAATCAGAAAAGAAAAAAAAAAAAAAAAAGGAAAAACATTCATGGCTCATGGATTGAAAGAATCGATATCATAAAATGGTCATACTACCTGAGTTCTGGCACTGCTTTAAATACCTGAAGCTGAGTAATTTATGAGAAAAAAGATTACACTGGCTCACGGTTCTGCAGGCAATACAGGAAGGATAGTCACATCTGCTTCTGGAGAAGCCTGAGGAAGCATCCAGCCTTGTTTCAAGGCAAAGGGGGAGCAGTCACATCACATAGCAACAGTGGAAGCAAGAAAAAGAGAGAGAGACAGACAGAGTTGGGGTGGGGCACCATGTACATTAAAATGGCCAGATCTCACAGGAAGTCTATCACAAAGACATCAAGCCATGAGTAATCTGCCTTCATGATCCAAACACCTCCCACCATTTACAATTTGGGATGTTGCTTATATACAAAGAACACACAAAATTTTACTGTGGGACACGCTGGAGAGCAGCACACAGTGGCATGGCAGATGGCAGCCATGCTGGCCCCACCCAAGTACTACCTGCTGCTTTCCACTTATGCTGCTCACTCTCCCTGCCTGGGCGGTAGCTGGAGGCTGTGGGTGGAGCTTTCCTGCTGGAGCCGTTTCTTCCCCTTCTTTTCTTTTGCTTGGCCCCAGCTCTGGCCTTTTTTCTTCCTCCTTTTATAAACACACACCTGATTGCCTTGCCAATTATTAATTACTGGGCAGGCAAAATTTTTTTTCTGTAATGCTGTTTAAGTCAAATTCCTATAGCTGTAGCATTTTCTTTGTCCTTTTTCCTATTTATTAGATGCCTTTGTGCATGATTTCTCCCCATTTGTTCCCAAAGCTTTACATCCAGTGTGCTCTTTACCGAGAACCATGGGCCTTGGGAAACAGCAGCTAGAATTACTTTCTGTACTTTTATCTGTTGAGCTGATAACAGCTGTCCCATGATGAATCCCTACCTGAAACAATGCCTCACTGAGCTTGGCAGTCGCCAGTGGGTACCAACGACTTACTGACTTCTTGACCTGACCGCACAAGTCCTCTGTACCTTCTGGTCCCAGGCGTTCTGCTGTTCCTTCTTTGCAGCAGTGATCACATTGGTTTGTTCCTCATTCGAGCGCCTGCTGTGACGGTTATCACATCAGGGTCACCACCTAAGATGTTGTCTACCACCTGGGGAAGTCTGGCCTGCAGACCTTGACTTAATGATGGATGAATCAATGTACTCTCACACCATTACAGTGATATGAGTGGGCTAGGGATGGCCATTGGCTGCTTTCAGAGGGCAAAATGCAACCAACCAACCACGATTCCCTCCCCATCATTACATTTATTTAGTATGAATTGTACAGCAGAGGGTCTAAGTCAACACTCTTGTGGATAATTAACACGGTTAAAAGAGTGGTTTTATGAATAAAAGCTTTAAGTTCTAGGCCCAGAGTAAACACTATTAACAGTTAATTCCCCTTTGATCTTCCCCTGAGAGGACCACCCAGCAGAAAATTTACATGAGTAAACAGACTGGAGACAAAGGGATGTGGGGTAAACAGACTTAAATTGAGAAAGCCTAGTCCCTATCTTCTCCCTAACTAATGGGCCTGCCAACTTCAGCCTGTCCCAATAAAACCTTTTAGCCTTCCAAAAGGCTTGAGACTAATCTATAAGTTCCTAATATATCTTTAATATTTTGCCAGCCACCCTGAGTGAATATCAACATCCCATAGTGAGAATTCGAGGGGAAAGAGAGAGAAAGAGGAAGATGTGGGGAAGGTGCCACACACCTTTAATTGATCAGCTCTCATAAGAACTTACTTCATGAAGACAGCATCCAGCTATGAGGGATCCACCCTCATGGTTCAAACACCTTCTGCCAGGACCCACCTCCAGCATTGGGATCTGTAACTCAACATGAGATCTGGGCAGAAACAAATATCCCAACTCTGTCATTACCCAAGCAATTTATAGATTCGATACTACTCCTTTCAAAGTACCAATATAATTTTTTGCCAAATTAAAGAAAACCATTCTGAAATTCATATTAAAGCAAAAATGAATGTGGATAGCTAAAGCAATGCTAAGCATAAAGAGCAAAGCTGAAGTCATCACACTACTCGACTTCATACTACTCTATAAGGCTGCAGTAACCAAAAAGCATGGTACTGGTACAAAAGCAAACATGGAAACTACCAGAAAAAAATGGAGAACTCAAAACAGAAGCTGCACATCTACAATCATCTGATCTTTGGCAAAGCTGACAAAAACAAGCAATAAGGAAAGGATCCCCTGTTCAATAAATGGTTCTGGGATAACTGGCTAGCCATAGGCAGAGGACTGAAGCTGGACCCCTACCTTTCACAATATAAAATTCTTTACTCAAGCCTGGGCATGGTATCTCACAACTGTCATCCCAGCACTTTGGGAGGCCAAGACAGGTGGATCACTTGAGGTCAGGAGTTCGAGACCAGCCTGGCAAATGTGGTGAAACTCTATCTCTACTAAAAATCCAAAAATTAGCTGGGCATGGTAGCACAAGCCTATAATCCCAGCTACTCTGAAGGCTGAGGCAGGAGAATCTCTTGAACCTGGGACACGGAGGTTGTAGTGAGTCTAAATTGTGCCACTGCATACCAGCCAGGGTGACAAAGTGAGACTCCATCTCAAAATAATTAAATAAGTAAAATGATTTATTCAAAATGGATTAAAATTTAAATGTAAGACCTCAAACTGTAAAAATTCTTCAAGAAAACCTAGGAAACATCCCTATTAACTTTGGCGAATAATTTTTGGCTAAGTCCACAAAAGCTATCACAACAAAACCAAATTAGAGCTTCTGCACAGCAAACTGAACTATGAATAGAGGAAACAGGCAACATACAGAATCGTATAAAATATTTACCCCAACTCTGCAGCTGACAAAGTTCTAATGTTTACAATCTGTAAGGAACTTAACTATTCAAAAAAACAAATAATCCCACTAAAAATAGGAAAAGGACACGAACAGACACTTCTCAAGAAAAATTATACAAGTAGCCCACAAACATGAAAACATGTTTATCATCAGTAATTATCAGAGAAACGCAAATCAGAACCACAAGAGATACGATCCCACACCAATCAGAATGACTGTTGTTAAAAAGTCAAGCAACAGCAGACCCTGGTGAGGCTGTAGAGAAAAGGTAACGCTTATACACTACTGGTGGAAATATAGATTAGTTCAGGTACTGTGGAAAGCAGTCTGGAGATTTTGTAAAAAGCAGTCTGGAGATTTCTCAAAAAACTTAAAACAGAGCTACTACTGAACTAAGCAATTCCCTACTGGGTATATACACAACACAAAATACTTCATTGTACCAAAAAGCCACATGCTCGTGGACATTTATCACAGCATTATTCATAATAGCAAAGACATGGAAACGACACAAAGAAAGAAAATGCAATAAAGACAGAATATTTGAAAAAATAAAATCACTGATTTTTTCCTATTCTTGAGTGATCTAACATATATAACAGTTTATTAAAAGGGACAGCAATGTATTTGATTATGTATGCTTATGTGTGTTGTAAACCAAGAGTATCTGGGACAAGTCTCAATCATTAGGATGGTCACTTTGCTAAGGCTAAGGATGCACCTGTGACACAGCCTCAGGAGGTCTTGACATGTGTTCAAGGTGGTCAGGGCACAGCTTGGTTCTAGACATTTCAGGGAGACATGGAACATCTACCAATATATGTTAAAATGTACACTGGTTCCATACAAAAAGGCAGGATAATTCAAACTGTTGAGGAGGCTTAGGGGTTATAGGTAGATAAGACACAAACAGTTGCATTCTTTTGAGATTCTGATTAGCCTTTCCAAAGGAGTATCAGATATGCATTTATATCAGCAAGCAGAGGGATGACTTTGAGATCTCTGTCCTTTGTCCACAAGGAGTTTCCTTAATAATATTTACTATTATTAGCAATATGATTAATAATCTATATTAATATTATACAATATATACTATGTATAATATATAAAGATAGATATTACATATATAAGGACATAAAATATTATAAATAAGAATACAGTACATATATATAAGGATATATAAAATACATATGGATATATGAGAATATATATGTAAGAATACACAATACATCTAAGAAATATATATAATATACAATATATAAGGATATATAATATATACATATATATGTTCTTTTAAAAAATACACTCACACAGTAAAAGGAAAGTAAATATTGGAATCCGAAAATCACTAAGCCAAAGGGAAAAGTCAAGCTGGAAACGGCTTAGGGAAAACCTGCCTCCCATTTTAGTACATAATAAAGTATATATAATATATATCCTTATATATATCCTTATACATTATATATTCACACACAATATATATTAAATATAATATATATTATATAATACGTGTATAACATATATATGTATAACATAATATATAATACATAATATATGTATAATATATCACAATTATATGATATATAATATATGTGTATTATGTATAATATGTATAACACATATTGTACATATAATTACATAATTATATTTAGAGCTTCTGTACACCAAAACCTCTTGATTCACCAAGAAAGAATACACATTTCTTCTCAAATTGACAAGGAACTGCTTAAGGAAAACCTGCCTCTCACTATAGTATATAATGAAGTGTATAAAATGAAGCATATAAGAATATATATGGACATGGAGAAGTTGATTTGGGAGAGCTGTTCCCACCTTTCCAAGTCCTGTGAAGGAATAAAGCTTGCTCCACCTGAGGCTCACTTTCGGTTTCATGTATTGGCTCTGCGACTCCCAACGAGAAAAGATCCCACCTTCTGCAGCCACCAAGATTTTTGTAACAAGGAGAGTGATTATTTTACATTTTTGTACACAGAAGAGAGAATCAGAAGAGGAGAAGGCGACGCAAAGAAGGAGGCACAGATTGGAGCAATGGGGCTACAAGCCAAGGAACACTGACGAATGCCCTGCAACTGCCAGAGCTGGAAGACGCAAGGACTGGATCTGCTCCTAGAGCCTTCACAGGGGGTGTGGCTCTCCATGTTGATTTTGGAATTGGCGCCTTCAGAACCATGAAAGAATAGTTTTCTGTTGTTTTAAGTTGCCAACCTTGTGGGAATTTGTTGTGGCAGCTACAGGAAGCTAAAATACCAGGTGGTCAACTTTAACATCAACAGTGGCACATCCAATTGATATTATATAACTCTGACAAGGTGTTTGGAGAGAAGCACTTCACCTCATGTAAAAAATCTGTAACTGTAGTCTAATCATGATCTAAACCTCAACTAAATTCAATTTGAGAGACATTTCAGAATATATGTGGTCAGTACTTCCCCAAATTGTGAAGGGCATCAAAAATTAGGAAAACTTCAGGGATGGCCACACACCAGAGGAGGCCAAGGAGGCATGGAGACTAAATGTAATGTGATAGTCTCGATGGAATCCTGGAACACAGAAAGGACATCAGGGGAACGCTAATGAACTCCGAACAGTGTGCAGTTTAGTCAATAATAAGAGCCGGAACCCCGCGCAATCCAGGACTTCTCAGAAGGCCTTTCCACCCCCTGGTCACCCCCAGCCGCACCTCATTGATGCATCCGTCTGGATCAACAATCTCTGCTCTAAGCAGACCAATGCCTGGTCCTCTTCCGAGCGGCTCCGCAGTACCCGAGCGCGGAGCGGCAGCGCCCCCCTGCGGCCGAAGGACTGAGGACAGACACTCAGCTCCCCTTTCGCTTCCCCACCCCGGACCTCTCCAGGGTGCCCTTCGGTTCCCAGCTGCAGAACGGGCCACTGTGCGCATCGGGGCGACCCCGTCCCACGACAGATTTTTCCTCCCAGTTAGAGGCGGTGGACTCCGACCTCAAGGCAGAGGGAGGTCTGCAGACCCTAAGATCTTGTTCCCAGGTCTGGGCTGACCCCACAGACATACTGCGCTCCCAGTAAGCAATTTCTCAGTGTTTTTGGAATGAGGCCTTGGACTCCCGAGTCCCTGAAATTTGTTCTGCTGCTTCCAGGGAGGAAGGTCTCTCCTCCCCGGAATCCACTAGTTGAGTCTGCAACCCTAGTGTGGAGGGACCCGGGAAGGACGTGGCGTCGGAGCTGGAGACTACATTGGGTTACAAGGATGTCTGGGATCCGCTGAGGCTGAGCATTTGCTCCTGAGGGCGGTTCCTTCGCCACGCCCCGGACCCACAGGACCCGGCATCGGAACTGACACCCTCTAGGATCCTGGAGGGCGGCCCTGCCCCAGCCCCAGCCCAGGACTCTGGGGTTCCCCCTCCTCTTCCCCTTTGCGACCTAAGCCGACAGGACCTGCTGTCTACATCCCTTAGGCCTCGTCCCCTGCCGTCTCCAGTCCCTGGTTAAAGGTCCTCAATCTTGGACCCAAATCTAATTTCTGGTTCCGTTGATTGTTCGCGACGGTCGCCCGCCAGGAGAGGCTCCCCAGCACCAAACAGGCTGCGGCTGAGCGACAGTGGCGGATATGGGCGCTTTGGCCCAGACTCTCTAGCTGAAGCACCTCGCGGCTCCGCCCTGGAGGCTGCTCCCCAGAGGCTCCGCAGGGGTCTGTCTTGCTCTGCTGCAGGAGGGGGCGCGGGGATGTCTACCACTGAGGCTGCACTCACTGCCCTGGGTAAGCCTCCCCGCTGTGGACCTAAAAAAAAAAAATCGCATATTGGGAAAATGCCTACCTGTCAGCCCCAGACTGAACTTTAAGAGGTCCTGGTCTCTAGAGTTTTTCAGCACCTTTTTGTCAGGCGCTATTCTGGGTGCGTGGGTCAAATCCAAACAGGCAAAAATCATGGCCCTCAAGGAATTTACATTCAGGTGAAAGATACGGCCAATAAAAAGTCACTGAAGTCAACTACAGGGGTGTCCCAAAGTAAAGAATGATTAAGAGAAAAGCAAGGCGTGGAAGATGAAGGAGCCAGGGGCAATTTTAAGTTATTATTATCGGTGTGAGATTTCCCGAGAGGCGCCCTGAGAGCTGAGTCCTGAAGCAGATGAAGGAGTGAGCCCTGGGTTACTGGGAGGAAGGGTGTTCTAGAATCACCCTCTGCAGACATGGGGCTCCACCAGGAAAAGCACCCAGGCTGCGGCAGGAGTGGCGCTGGGTAGATTTCAGAAGGACTTCCTGAGGCGGGTTGCAGAGG